CACCGCGCGAGCCCCCCACCGGGGTCACGTGACCTCGTGGGGGGTCACGTGACTCCCCTGAGGTCACGTGACCCCCTCCTCGAGGTCACGTGACCCCCCGAGGTCACGTGACCCCCGCCGATGTCGCGTGACCCCCCGATGACGTCATCGTCACTGATGACGTCACCGACATCCACATCGTCATCGTCATCATTACTGATGACGTCATCGGCATCCACATCGTCATCGTCATCATCACTGATGTCGTCATCGGCATCCACATCGTCATCGTCATCATCACTGATGACGTCACCGGAATCCACATCGTCATCGTCATCATCACTGATGACGTCACCGGCATCCGCATCGTCATCGTCATCATCACTGATGACGTCACCGGCATCCACATCGTCATCGTCATCATCACTGATGACGTCACCGGCATCCACATCGTCATCGTCATCATCACATATGACGTCACCGGCATCCACATCGTCATCGTCATCATCACTGATGACGTCACCGGCATCCATATTGTCATCGTCATCATCACTGATGACGTCATCGGCATCCACATCGTCATCGTCATCATCACTGATGACGTCACCGGCATCCACATCGTCATCGTCATCATCACTGATGACGTCACCAGCATCCACATTGTCATCGTCATCATCACTGATGACGTCACCGGCATCTACATCGTCATCGTCATCATCACTGATGACGTCACCGGCATCCGCATCGTCATCGTCATCATCACTGATGACGTTACCGACATCCGCATCGTCATCGTCATCGTCATCATCACTGATGACGTCATCAGTGACGTCACTGATGTCGTCACCGGCATCGGCATCGTCATCGTCATCATCACTGATGACGTCATCAGCGACGTCACTGATGACGTCACCGACAATCACATCGTCATCGTCATCATCACTGGTGAAGTCATCAGTGACGTCACTAATGACGTCATCGGTACCCGCATCGTCATCGTCACTGATGACGTCATCAGTGACGTCAGTGATGACATCATCGGCATTGGGGGTCACGTGACCCCCCCCTGGTTAGTTTAACCCCCCCCCAGTGCCCTTCCCTCCTCCTCCTCAAGAGCTGCGCTCCAATTCGGCGTTACAGGGAGTTGTAAGCGGCTTTCATTTTTTTTGTTTTAACAATGTTCTGTTTTTGGATTTTTATGCTTACCCGCCTAATTACTGTTTGTCTTTGTGTGCAATTAGATGTGTGTGTCCACTCCCCTCTATAATGCCTTCGGGCCCTGAGGGAATGAATAAATAAATAAATAAATAAATTGATCACGGTCGATTACCACAACAGTTAAGCTTCCAAAGCTTTACTGTTATGATTTTTTGCTTTTTGAATAAAGTAATTATGACAGCAGCGTTATTGTCAAACTTAGCCTGGTACCCTTTTTTTGTGAAAAGCAACAGCCAGTCAACAGGTGCTTTGGCATCACACCACAACAAGCCTGATGTCTCACTAGGACACCAGAGCCCTGTCACACCAAAACACCACGGCCCTGATGTCACACCAGAACACCATCGCGCAGGTGTGAAATCGTCCCAAATCATATCTGTGAAAAAGACTGGTGTCACATCAAGTTACACCAGCCCTCGGCCTGGTGTGTTTTTCACTAGGGAACTGTCATGCTCATAAGGTACAGTATAAACAAGTAGCAATTTATGCTCGATATTATTAATGCGCTTACTGAGAAAGCAACAAATGAGGCTACAGTGTGCCAACCCTCGAGTAATACCTTGACATGGCTCTACGCCTCCACAGAACATATCACACGAAAGTTTCCCTGCAGTGGATACCCGGCCACTCGGGCATTGTCGGCAACGAGGCTACAAGGGAGCGAAACAATTTCCACCCTTTGCACGCTCTTCCTGTCGAAGTGTCTTCGCTGCCACAAACGACAGAAGCCGCCAAGCTGTACTACCGATTTGAGGCTCTGAAAACGCATAAGAGGGAATGTAAGCGCCGCCTGAAGGAATCGTAGGGTCCCGAGCCCAACCCAATCCCACCGGGCCACTTCAAAGTGAGGCAGACGGTGATCCTACGAAGAATACATACGTGCGAAGCAACATGCGCCGTAGATGCTTCAATCTTTTGAGACGAGATGTCAGCAAAAACTGAACCTGGACTACAAACCGTCGGATAAAATATTGCAGCTCTGCAAGGGCTAAAACACACTAACTAAACGTCAGTATCTAATATGGGAATGCGACGCCTTAGCCGGACATCGAAGAAATGCCTAGGTCGACTTAAGGTCTATTCACACGATGGATCTTGTCGCGAAATCTTGTGTCGCGAAACTAGGTTTCGGGAAACAAATTCCCCATCTGAACTCGACCGAAACAGTGGCGCGCCCCTGAAAAAAGTTGCGCGTGTTCCTCGCTTCTGGAGCAAGTTTTCTCTGAAACCTCATCGAGGCCTGTCAATCACCCGAGCGAGAAACGCGGACGCTGCCAATGGCCGCTCGACTTCGCTATGACGTCTGGCCTTCGAGGAGGAGCGAGCTTTTGGAGGCGTCTGATTTTTGTCCGATTCCGTATCCGAGCCAAAGCAAAAAAAAAGAAAAAACAAACATGGCGAGCGACAAGTGGAGAAGCGGTGCGTACGGGCGATGAATTTTGGTCCTACTCGGTTGCAGATGTGTGAACGGCGCCTTACCGGTACGAGTTGATGGCGCGGTGCAGATTCGTCAACAGTCGCGACGAGTGCAAGCACCGGATATAAACATGATGGCTGGCGATAACTTTCTTTACTAGCGGTGCAAAAGTTTCCGAAATGCTTCGAGATTATCCGCCGTGTCTTTGACGTTCGCGGTCTTTCCCGGGTCTGGCAGGACTAGTAAACCCAGTGAGCCGAATCTGACGAAGTTTCTTGAGTGGTATTAATAAAACAGACTGTCTCTTCACACTGTGCGTACTTCCTATCATTTTGATGCGAAACGCTTGGTATTCCCGGTGCAGATGACAAGGTTTGGCGAAATTCTCGCGAGTCAATACGTCACAGGTTTCGCACGTAAAACTCCACGTGTGAACAGGCCGATTTCGCGAAATCTGAGTTTCGCTAAACTGTGGCGCGTTGAAAAGATGCATCGTGTGAATAAGCCTTTCAGGCACGTCTAGTACCCACGAGAAATGGGTGCGACCCAGCGGTAACTTCTTAAGAAGATCCTGAAGCCTGGAAACGCTGTTCGACTACGTTGACGCCACTGGTCTCTATGACAAAACATAGAAAGGATTGGGGATGAAGAAAGAATTCCCGCCGGGGCGGCGATCACTCCGCTGCATTTACCTACATATTATTCCGGGCCAATAAGCATTTTCGCACACACACAAACGCACATCATTAGTCGTTCAGTCGTCTTAAATACCTCGGTGCCACCTAGATGTTGCGCATCATTAGGCGTGTATCAAAGAATCTGTCTAAGCCCACTTATTTATTTTTTAAATTATGTTAATGGTCGAACACTATGTTCCTTCTGCTATCCTTTTTTCTGAAATAAATAAATAAATAAATAATAAATATATATGTTTTTACTGTAATTTATCGTATGTCGACAATCATTTATCGCTCTAAAATCACCTACTGATAGCATTTGGTGTTTTCAAGGCTTATATTGCTTAAACTTGAAAGGGTGTTTGTTCTTTAATTTAATTTTGCCGAAATTTTGGAGTTTAATTTTTCTGTGTTCCCAACTTATATCGATTTAAAATAGGAAAAAAAATATCGACACGGAGACGGGTGATTCATTCTTATGAACTTAGCTCGTTTCATATTATTAAGGTAGGCTATTTGGTTCAACGTTCTAAATATATAAAGTGCAAGCGACGGTGGAGAACTTGAATAAGAGAGGGCAATTTTTCAGTTGCGTTTTACATCGGTGCCCTTTCCATTCGCAGGGCCAGTGACACGGACATCACATATTATAAATATCTGGGTCTTCATAAAACCATCAATTTAAAAGGGATCACTCGGATGAATTAAAATATATTTATGGCAAGCAGTACGCCGAGTTTTCTACAGAGGAAGCGTAAAACAGATTTCATGCATAATTATATTACGTCTCAAACTAGAATGGGCTGCAATCGTGTTGTCCCCGTGGCATTGTTAGCTTAAAGAAGAATTGGAAGGAGTCTAATAAAGATTAATAACATTATCTATGTTCATATATATTTTTAACGCCAGTGTATTTGAAGTACGAGAGCGAGCGAAACTTTCTGAAATTGAAGGTGAAAAATATTACGTCTAAAACTGTTTTACAATATTCGTCAGCGTGTTCCAGAGATTAGAAACGTAGCACTACCATATTTATGTTTGTCTGTCTACAAAATTTGAACACCTTCTAACTAGAAACCGTCTACCTATTCAGCCCCTTCTTTTCAAATTATTTTGTGGTAATCACAAGAGGAATTGATTGGTTCAATAAAGTGTGTACAGCGCACGGTGTACATCTATATTGATAATTACAAAGGAACTGTTATAAATTCGTAAGCCACTCCTGGTACTTAAAAATCAAGTGGCAGCGGATAGTTAAGTTTTTTTACCCATATTGACGTGGTCCTTTGTTTCTCTTGAATGTGTGTTCCTTTATGCCTGTAACTGAAATATTTAGTCGTTTATTGCACAATCACTTGTCCGGAGCTCTGCAAGGTATTCATGAACACATAAATAACACCTTACAAAGCGCAGAACTACTCTTATAGGTAGCTAGCATGACGATCCAATCTCACAGCATGTGTTTTCACATGAAGTGCTTCTCCAGAATCTTAGTCTACTGCACGAAGGTCACTTGCCGTATCCGAAAACGTAGTAGCGAAGGTATCGCTTCCTCCACGTGTTGAAAACAGTGACCAGGAGGAAAGTGATGTGAAAGCCCTCCAGAAGCATCCACGAGAACGCAGCCAGAAAGAAATAGTGGAGCAGACCGGCCACCACGGAGCACAGGGTCTGAGTGAGAGAAGAGACGAGACTTTCTTCAGAGTCCTTTATTGGCACTTCTCCTTCTCGGACAAGGCGCGCCGCTCAAGAAACTTGGTCCCTGGCAGGGTCACACCGCCAAATTCGCAGAGCACGAGCAAAGTGCACAATACAAAACAGAAGTCTTTGCAGACTTCCGTGATGTCTACCTTGTCCTGCGTCTGGTCCAAACCGAGCATCAGGACGATTTCGGCTATGAAGAGGCTGATGCACAGGTTCAGATGAATGGACGTTCGGGTATTTCGCAGCGACCTAGAAAATGGGAGAAGCGACCAGTGCTTATTTAACGACCCTTAAGGTATTAAAAAAACGTGCGCTGTCGGATAAAAAAAAAACGTCCCTAAACGCGACAACTTGCTTTGTAGCGGTTACATTTGGCATGAGTGGAGAGTTGGGAAAAGCAGCCGCGAGTGAGAGCCGTTGCTATAGTAGTCTCAATAAAGATTTGCAATGGATATAGATCTGTTAAAGCTAATGACATCAACTCAAATAGCCCATCTTTGCTGATGTTGGAAGACAGTTTTGTTACACCACTGCGAAAGGGGCAAACTCGCCATTAGACTTATTTGAGTGCAAGAATTTAGCTTCACTGCTAGCTCTATATTTCTTGTTGATTTCAGTATCTGAACATTTTATTACCACTTTTTCTTCAACGTATTTTACTATACTATATCATACTATACAAGGCTACGCTGTACTATAGCTTGTATTTTTTTTTCAAGGAATAGTTTCGGAAAACGAATTATTGAATGTCCACCAATCAATCCCCCCACTTCCCCCTTATTGCTTTAACCCATTAACAAAACTCATGAAGCAGAATACAGCGATCAATGAAACATCCATCTCCACAGTAGTTAACAGGTTATTTTGGTGTTTTATGACATTGATTGAGCAGGACGGCAATAAATGATACTTTGTAAAGTAATCAAGGCAGCGTAGATGTTTGAGAATGGAAAGCAACACATGGTTATGTTTAGTATGTGTGGTCTTCCCACCGATGCCTATTCAAAAATTACTAAAAATATATCATTTATAACTTTAGAATACTCGATAAAATATTAAAAAAAAATCAATAGAGCCTTTGACGTTAATATTGATCTTATCCCTGACATATATTTAAGCGCAATTAGGATTTAAATACGTGTAGACACGTGCCGTATTAGTGATAATATCTTAAATTATGAAATACTACTACACAATAAATAAACAAGCGTATTTCTTTAGAATCGGTAATTCGCGTCCCCTGACATCTGTGTAATTTGTTCGCGTAATACAATCACTTGTTCACCAATTTTATATATTGCAGGCGCACCCACGCCAAGGTTACGTCGATAAAACCTTATCGAAGAAAACAATAAACGTCAATTTATTGTGAAGAATAATGTCAGCAATAATCGCCACAACTAAACAAAATTCCCATATATAGCATTAAGATATCACGGGAGCCGTGCATCTTATGGCATATCCCAATTCCGCCTACGTAAGATTACGTTTCATTGGTGATCGCGTAATCACGGTAATCAGAACCATGTTCTTGTCGGTTTTACCTTATTCAGCAGAATGCTTTCTGCGAGAGTCAACGATTATTGCGTCGACCCAGCCATAGCTATGGCTTGTTTTACAATAAATTCGACCAGCCCTTGAGGCGGTCCAAAAGCCGCGAAATAATATAAATATTCTCTGTAGCGTGTTAAGAAGAGACTACAAGCCTCTCCCACAAATATATCTTGCCATGAATGGCGGTTTCTTTCTTTCCACACGCCTCCCCCTCAGGCGGAGAACTTCGTGGCAGGTGAGTGTCGTGCTTTTCTTATTCGTCAAAAGTCTATAAGCAACGCATACTGCCTAGTTTGAGAAAATTCCTTCTGTGATGATTCAATATCCTACACCGTGGTGCGCGACGCTGGGTCATCCCAAGAAGCACAAATTCCAAGAAAAACGATTCATAGGCAAAGCGCGACTCATTTACTACCTATAGCTCCACAGTGTATTAAAGTATTTACCTGAAGCATCCGAAGACCGCAATGCAGATGGCCAGGCAGATGACCGACACGCTGCAGCCGACCAGGGTGATGATCTTGAGGGACGTGCCTGTCAGCGCTTCGTCGAGGACTCCGTTCAAGTCCATGAGAACTCCGAAGTTTGAGAGATGTCGACACAGGCAGATCACGTGCGTGCCATTCCGAGATCCCACCTCGCAGCCCTCTGGACTCCACTCACTGCGTTTCGAACGCGTCCAGTAAGTATTGCGAAACGCATGTCATCCTAAAACAAATTTGTGGCAGTGATTGTAGTGTAATTAATGGAAAGGTGCTAGCGAACTGGACAGAATAAACGATAATAAACCCTGAAACCCTGAAACAGGGGAGAAACACAAATCTCCAAACACAACTACGTCTAGATTACTGGTGCGCACAGAGAAAAATCCGCCTAGTCCTTCTTTCGAACCTATGACAAATCGGTCCCTGGTTTGTCATCGGGACTGGGTGGATTTTCTCAGCGTGCACCAGTCATCTGGTTATGTGTCGAGATTTGTGTTTGTCCCCTTGTTCCCTTTCTTTCCCTTTCCCAAGGGTTATTAACGTTTATTCTGTCCAGCTCACCTGCACCTTTGCATTCATTGCATTAAATCACAACACTAAAAGGCGACCCGTTCACCCTCGTTGGCGTTAGACTGGTGGCAGCTGATAAAACCCGCTTGCTCTACTCCTGGTTGGCTCAGTTGGTAGAGTGCTTCACTGGAAATGGAGAGGTCCCTGGATCGATACCAGGACCAGTGGGGTTTTTCAGCACGCACCTGTCATCTAGTTGTGTTTAGAGATTTGTGCTTTTCAAATGTACCCCTACCTCGCCTTTTTCCAGAGATTATTAACGTCGGCAGGGTTTTGGTCACACCTTACAAAATGTTTATTCTTAGAATATGTTCTGGGTCAGTAAATCTCGGTGCAGTAACTTAAGTATCAATACTCATACCGCGACATTCGACGAGGTCATTGCTTGTCGTTATGTTCACAGGGTCGCTTACGATATCCAAAGAAAGTGCAGCGCCACCCTTGAGGAAGGGCAGTGATACCTAGATATTCTTCCTTCGGCCGTAACAATTTTGAGTGTCGCTTTTGCGTCTTACCTTTGAACCGAGATACAATCGAGATATAATTAGTATATTTGGAAATCCACATAAGTGCCATTGCAGAAGTGTGGCAAGCTGGGCGAATTATAGTAATGATACGGTGAGCAGTATAGAGCACAGAAAGACAGGAACAGAGAAAAAAACGATGCACGACACACAAGCGCTGACTCGGAAATTAATTTATACACAAACAGTAGATAAAATGTACTGAAAGTCACTCTGTGCCGGAGCTTGATCGACATACACCACACAACACCATCTAACTAATTTGTCTTTCCCCATCGTCATATATAAAAACAATGTTTCCAATTGAAGCAGTGTCACCAATGCGTGGCTAATGCAGCGGTCTCCCAAACTAATATTACAATCCGCTTTCAAGATTTTGCGAGTCGTCTTGTCTGAATAATGTCCAATTATTGCTGTGCCGTTAAAGATTGGAGAACACGTGCAGGTAAAGCAACTTACGGGGAGACGCCCGCCCACCGTAGATTTTAGTGAACGATCAAGATCGAGAAGGAGGTCATTCAGAATCCAGCCTGTTCTACCCAAATAGCTTCTACTAGTGCCTCTACATTAGCTAAGCTTTTAATTAACGACACTTCCCCATTTTCTGGCTTAATATCATGGCTGCAAGTTATCTGAAGCTTTATCTGAAATCACAGAAAACGTTTTTCCGCCCTCCATAAATGTTCAAACAGTTCGCAACAGAGCAAAGCAATATTAGATGAGCTTCCTAACAGCAAATATATTGCTGAGGAAGTCGCACTTTTGAAGCACGACGATCGGCAGTTGCGTCTGCTGTACACACAAGATTCAAGATGGCGGCGCCCACAACAATCTCAAAGAACAGAGTGTCGATACCCTAAGCGCAGCTCATTTAATGGCTCTAGCTCCTACCACGCGCTATGGGGATTTCGTACAAAACGCCAGTTGAACACGACACGTAGAGGTGTCTGTGGCGCTTCTGGCACATAATTTTTTTAAGGTCTCTCGCTATGGAGCGAACCTTGGAGCAAATTTACGGGAACCTTTTGGGAGCCGAAAACACCATGGGAACATTGTACCTTTCAGCTACTCTTGTTAAATTTTATAATGTTTTGTGCATATGTAAATCAACCTCCATTCGCTTCTGGTCATCCCTAGGTTTCGAACGAGGTGGTGGGTGCCATAGTGCGTGAGATCAAATGGAGTCAGCAAAGAAAGCCTAAAGATCGCCAGAGACGAATGGCAATTGTTTTATATATGCAAAAACCATCGCATAATAAAAAAAATCGCCAAACGGTACGATGTGCCCATGTTGTTTTCGGCTCCCAATAAAATGGCGAAAATCGGCTCCAAGGTTCGCTCGATAGCGGAAGACCTCAAAAAAGCCACGTGGCCGAAACACCATTTCCACCCCTATCTGTTGTGTTCAGCTGGCGTTGTGTGCGAAACCCCACTAACGTGTGGTACAAGCTATTCGGGCCAAACAGGCCGTGTCCTGAATGACCGTCTTCTCGAGCATGATCGTTCACTGAAACCTACGGCGGGCAGTCATTGTAACACCTGCTCGTGTTCTACAGTTCGCAATGGTACAACAATAATTGGACAGTGTCGAGACAGGACCACTTGCGAAATTTCGGAAACGGATTGTATTATTAGAGTGGGGAACCGCAGCATTAAACACCCATCAGTGACACTGCTTCGACCAGAAATCTTGCTTTAGCTAGGACTAGAGCCATTAATAAGCTACGCTTTACAGTAAGGACACCTCAGTCGTCTTGGTGCTTAAAACACTAATAATCAGTTGTCTGAAGATCTATCAGGAATCGTAGGAAACGCTTTTACGTCCTTCGTAAATAGTTTAAACAGTCGCAAGAGAGCCAAACGATGTAAATTGAGCTTCATAACACTGTATTCAAATCTGTGGAAGTCTCATTTGTTAATTGTGATGATCAACAGTTGTGTCTGCTCTGCTCTAAGCACCAGGCTGGAGCCTCACACTAGCAGATCGGAGAACAGAGCAGCGCTAATCTATTACTCTTGTTACATGGGCACACTTAAGTGCAGTTAGGCTAAGCCACAGTTACACACAATACTTGCAGACAACATTATCCGGCTATGCAGTCAAAGCTATGGGCCCACGTACGCTTGAGCATCTTGAGCACCTATCAAAGCTGACCACGCGCACTCTTCACTTCTTTTTAAATAGCTGTCCGAGAGTATAGTAAGGTAACTGTGGTGACGCGTCACAGCAGGTTAAGGTGAGTTAACTGCGGTTACGGGTGCCCGTGTAACGCCGCTATTCTCGACTCCAGCAAAACGAATGACACCTAGCGGAAAAACACTGAACTGGCCGGAACAGGTCCTTTTGCCATTTCTGCTCGTCTCTTGTGGCCTCCGTGTTTCCATGTTGTCGGTGGTTTGCGCGACAGAACAGTTCTACCGGTGACTGTGTCGTAACTGTAGTGTCGCCTTGTGACCTAGGTTGCTCTGCACGCGACCTATGTAACCGCGCGAGCCAGACATTCTGCGTTGATCAACGTTCATCAGCACCGTAACACGACAGTGGGCAGTCCCTTCCTCGTTTCCTCGAAGAAAGTTCAGTCTCTGGAAGTTCGCTTACCCCAACACATCACCGCACGTTCGAAACATGGAAGATAAAACGCGAGGCAAGCCATTTTGAGTCGAATGCCTGCTTGCTTGTGCCGCAGCGTTGTGCGTTGAGCTGGCACATGGCACGGCACGACCTGGATTCGACCGCCATATTTGCCCGATAGTGGCGTCTTCTATAGGTCGCTGGAGTCGCGAATAAGCGTGACTCATGTCCTGGCTCTATAGTCCGTTGCAACCTAAGAACGAAGGGCGAGGGTAAGCTGGGCCGGGGAGGAGGAAGCAGACGGAACGCTGGAGAAGAGAGGGGGAAACCTCATTCTCTCTTTAGCGTTCCGCCTGCTTCCTCCTCCCCGTCCCGTCTTACCCTCGCCCTTCGTTCTTAGGTTGCAAGGGACTATAGATAGGACCATAGGGAAAAACATATTAATTACATGGTGTTGTATAGAGTATGTCATGCCCTGGCACAGCATGCATTTTAGTTCGTTCTCCTCTTCCGTTCGTATACAAATTCAGTTCCGAGAACGCGCTTTTCTGTCGTGCATGTTCCTTTTCTCTCTCCTTGACCTTTTGTACGTCGTACAGTTCACCATTTTACTGCAATTGCCCCTTTATGGCTTGTATGCAATCTATATGAGTCCTGATTACTGAATCTCCAGTAGAACGCGTAGAGATAAAATAATGTAATTTCCAGCGAACACAACTTTGACTATATACGGACAAAATAATAATAATGAGTTACACAACCTAAAATCGTTAAATTATTAAAAGCTATGATGAATAGTAGGCTAATTAACTTAAATAAACTATTTCCGTAGTAAATGGAAAAGGAAAACCTGATTTAATCTTTGACTACATGTGCAATACTATTTAAATATAATAGTACGATATTTTTACTGGGAATGACATTAGTTGATTTCATTACAGCTGTTTTTTTTTTAATTGCATATATCACCAGAACTCAGTGGCGTCTTTGCATCAGGGCTGTCGTCAGAACCTCAAGCATCAAATAGCGAATTTCACGAAAACCTTATTTCTTCTTACATTTTTAAGTTGCAGACAACTTCTTTGAAACTCGGTTAAACATTTACATTTGGATGCCTAAAATAAATACATAAGTAGTAGGACATATAAGTAATAATATTGCGTTCGCGTTTCTTATTGTTGCAATTGCACTATTGTCCTTTTGATAGGAAAGTGAAATTCAGATTACTCAGCCGAGAGCACTGCCAATAAGTTCCCGTGAAGTCATTCGGTACCGTATGTAATTTTTAGAGGATATGTAACTTTTTTTTTTTTCACGAATCACATTGCGAAAGATTTTTCCTCGCTGGAAAATTGTATTTATCTTTCTGTGTAACATAGTTATTAGTCTCGCAGCCTCGTTACAAATGCATTTTTGTTACTCTAAGGATGCGTGAACGGATAAACTGTTGCCGGAAAAGTACTAGTGATTTCAGTAGCTTCCGGTTTTAAGAATAAATATTGTTATATATTTAATACAAACAACCCTGGATTCATGCGTTTTCAGCATTCGAATATGTTCTGTTTGCATTACACTGTGAATCTGTTGCACAAAAGGTGACGTTGTACACATGGCGTCTACCGTGAATGCTCCTCGTCATTAGCATTTTTAATTGCTTGCTCTAAAATAACCGGTCATTTTATTCTGTTCTAATATTAGGCGTATCACAAGTAATTCCCTTTTTAAAAACGCTGATAAGAAGTGGTCCCGGCGTTCAATAATACACGATACCAACCTGCGAGGGGCGCTCATAAAGTTTGTACTATTATTAGATGAAGCAACAGAGCAGTGATCAAGAGCATTGGTGCCGAGCTCAGTTCATTTCTACAATTGTACCTGATAAGGCGACAAAGCTCACTCCACCAATTGATGTGCTGGAAGATACAATCATTGCAGAAATTCTCATTTTTGATCACGAGGAACTGCTTTACCCCGATAATAACCTCGTCATCGCCCTGGAAACACTTCCCACGCAATAGGTTATTCACGAGAGAAAGAAAGCATAAGTCACAGGTTGCCGGGCGCATGAATACAAGGAGAAAGGCAGACAGTCACCGCCTAAAAAATGTGCATGCGTACGTCTGCTGTGGACAATTAGCTGGTTCGTTGTGATGGAACGAACGCACTCCCCTTGTCAGCTCCCTGCGACACTTCAGGTCCTTTCCTAACTAGTCAGGTCACCCAATTTCCTGCGGTTTGGCCTTTACGGCCATAACCTGTCTATGGTGTTGGTCTGGAACTTCTGCTACGCTTTCAGAAATATAAGCACTAACTACGAACAACAAAATTTAATCGCTCACGATTGCTGCTCAGGGTTCGAAGATGAGAGAGACAAGAATACGCAATTTGCTTGCTACCTTGACAAACAAACTGATAATCCAAATTTGCATCGTTGTTCATTTCAAAGACATGCTATTTTCATGATAATAATGCAACTAATGCAAAGGCACAATCCAGCTGGACAAGAATGCTATTTTTGCTTCTTTTCTTCACAAGATTAAGAAACATTAAACAAAGTGTATGTCATCCATCGTCCCAACTGTGTCTTATTCTGTCGGTGTTCGCCTTAGTACTTTTTCATGAAATCAAGCTGTTGTTTGTCTTTTAGTTTTACCTTGCTCTCGTCTATTGACTCATGTAAGTATTTTTCATGATCTCGATCAAATATGCTGCTTTATTTATTATCGCAGATGGTATGCAGCACAAAAAAAAAATGCATTATCCTGAAGAAGTTTCATACAGGAACTCTCTGGTAATTCTTGAAAGGAGGAAATATAATACATTTATTTCCCATCAAAACCATAGATGTGATCGCGAAACAAAACCAGGAAAGGTCTGCTTTGACAAGCTCGCTCCTCCCTTGAAATTATACAACTTAAGATCACGTAGGCAGACGGTGCACTACGTACATTGCGCAAAGACACTCTACATGAAAACAAACACAAAAACTCAAATGGTATTCACCAATGAGAAACTCACTTGAGGAGCGTGTCCCAGAACACGCAGATTGGATTTTCAGCCTCTGACTTCAGCATCGGCAGCGTAATCTCGACATTTCTGCTCAGTTGGAGTCCTTCGGATTCACTTCCTATCCGAATGCTGATTACGGGCGAGTTGAGTTCCTTCTTTAGCTGTTCTATGTCTTGCTCGTCTCTGGGTGGAAGAAATACATTTGTTATAGAACTTAAAAAAAGAAAAATGAAAGCCGTTTACAACTCCCTGTAACGCCGAATTAGAACGCAGCTCTTGAGGAGGAGGAGGGGAAGGTACGGAGAGGAGACTATGCCCTTCCTCCTCTCCTGCTCGCCTCCCATTTAGAAAAAAATTTTCCGCTAAATTTAGCGGAAAAAATGTTTCCGCTACATTTAGCGGGGAAATTTACCGATAATGCACCGCGTGGTTACGCCGACGCCGCTCATGCCGGAAACGGGCGCATAAGAGCTGCGCTCTAAAGACTAATTGTAGGCAGAATGACAAACAGCCTAAAAGGGACAGGACACAAAGTAGAAGAAGGACACAGGACATACGCCGACTAACAACCGAAGACATAAAATTGAAAGAATAAAACAGAAGAAGAACAAGCACAGGACAACCACTTTCTTTCGTTTGGTCCCGCTTGACATTGCGCAGAGTTTAGATAGTTCGCAGGGGGCCGTGAAGACAATGTCAACGTTGAATTTTGCTCCTACACGTTTCTGATTGTGAGAGATCCTGTGAGCGTAGGGCAGCACTTCCCTACGGTCACAGATCCTATGAACGTAGGGTAGCTACCCTACGTTCACAGGATCTTTCACAATCTGAAACGTGAAGGAGCAAAATTCAACGTTGACGTTCTCTTCACGGCCCCCTGCAAACTATCTAAACTCTGCACAATGTCAAGCGGGACCAAACCTAGGAACGGCCCCTGTATACGAGGCATGCCAAGCAGTTTGTGCTTTGTTATGGAAGTCGTTTACTAGATCCCTCTCAGCTGTGGTAGGGTCTACTTGGGACAGACTGGTCGCTGTTTGAACGATAGGCTGCGTGAGCACGCGGCTTCGCTCGGCAGTGGTCACGGTTCCCATCTACCTATACACTGCAGGAATTGTGGGTGTTCTCCTGCGTTGGACAACACAAAGGTGGTGGGACGCATGAGGGGCAAGTTGGAGAGAGAGATCATGGAAGCGGCGCGTATACTTGCCTGTGGACCAGATCACTGCATTACTGTCACGTCAGTGCATCTGACCAACAGGCAATTACCATTTCTCAATTGTGAGCGCCCTTAGTATACTGTACACTAAATCTGTAAAGGTCTAATTTGTGTCCTGAACGCGGTGTGCACGTGGTGCGAACGTGGAGTGCACGCAGCGCATGATCTTATTGTTTTCTCTTGCCGCTGTCAGAATCTTAATATTTTCTTTAATATTTGTTATGATGACGTGTTTTGCAACGTCCTTCTAGTGCCGCTGTTTCCTTCTTTATTAGCATTTATCTCTTCTGAAAGAGAAAGAAGAGCTTTTGCTTGCGCGGGCCACTGTGCGCGCGTGGAAGTTATAGCAAACCTTTGGCTGTTAGTCAGCGTATGTCCCGTGTCCTTCTTTTACTTTGTGTCCTGTCCCTTTTGCGCTGTTTCTCATTATGTCGTTCAACCAACCAGCCCAGCAAGGTATACTGTTACAGTGATTGTAGGCCCCGTCGTTTCTTGGTGCCAGTAAAGTCAAATATGCAGGTGCAAGCATGCAGGGTGGGCACATTGACGACACGTAGAGATCACACATCTGTATACTGCTTTCTTCGAACCTGAGGTGAAACTGGGTATTGATGTCAACGGATAAAGATAACAGTAGAGATAGGCGGATTAAAGAAAGGGGTGCAGACCTACTCCGCGTGCTGTCTCATAAAAAAACATTTTTTTGTAAGTTTTAATGCGCTTTGGGAATTTTGCAGTTTTGTTGTTTCTCTACTCTGTCTTCTCCTGTTCCAAAAGCTGGGAGCCGATGTGCAATGAACCGAGATACAAAAAAACAAACCTTTTCGCTTATTCCACAAGAAACATTGACTTGCCTCATGCTCTATGAGTTTATATGCTCTAAATGACATGTTCCGCCACTCCATTTGCTTACTTTTCGCAGTTCGAGAACTTTGGGATGACTGACGTAGATAATCAAGTTATGTGGTTTATTCTTAAAAGTATGAACAGTGCAATGTTGAAAACTGAGATGACAAGGGTTGACAAATATTTGTGTTCCTACGGCCTGAAGCCTTAATCGGGAAAACGCTTTGTTCGAGTGTGACTAACCGCGGTCGCTTGATTACTGCCGATGTACTATGATTTACTGCTTCATCGGGAGATATATATAGCAAAAGAGTTCCAGCTGAGCGCCTTGAGATTGCAGCTCGAGGCATATAGTTCCATTAACGTGGAAGAGGCTAGCGACGCGACGCGTTACCGAGTGACTCTTTATAATTCAGACACTTCGACGCAGTAATATGAACTCTTGCTCAAATTTATCCATTTTATATGTGTATTTTATAAATAGCGCTTAAAGCATTGTTTCATTATACATAACATCGCATTGCGTCTGTATTTCAGAGACACTTTGTAGCTACATACTTTACCAAGAAAGAGCAGTTGAATATATTCAGTTAGTTAGTGCGGTCGTCTATTATTACCGCGTGACGCAAGTTAAATCTTACCACGTGTAAGAGGCGCTGTGCTCCTGCCAGGCATTAAAATGCCACATAATTTCTGTCGAATAGCATTATCCACATGGGAAATAAAAGCGTGACTCCTGACACAACGTTGCTCACGCCGGACGCTGTTAGTCAAGATCGCGAGCTGATTCGCCCATCACTAAATGTAATTAGATGCAAATGGAATTCAAATATCATACCCCTGCCTCGTGGCAGCTGTATAACGACCCGATTTTTAGACAAATACGGAAGATAATTATATTTTAAGTGTGACACGGAGCGTGGTTGGCACGGTCGCCATGCCCCGTCACCGGTTGAATCTTTCGGACTTACCCGTCGTCGTAGAGGAGCTTGTCCAGCCGCGGGAACTCCGTGAACACGATGACGAGCGCCGTGCTGTCGCCATCGCTGGAGACGCTGTTGGGTGTCAGTCCGATCTGCGCCGTGCTCTGTGACAGGTTGAACACAGTGCTCTTCCTAGGAAGCATCACCGTCTGGTTCACAATGTTGGCCGTCGTACCGGACACGATGTTCATCTCTGTCATTGAGGAACACAGATGAATACGAGTTAGTGACACCTTGAATCCGTACGCTCGTTCCGGACACAAAGTGTCGTCACCAACAGCTTAAGAATTGCGAATATTTACATGCTTGCGCTTCTTTCGATGCTTCCGTCGGCCGATTTCGTAATTCTATTGACTTAATGGACATCGTGAGATTATCGCCACACTCTGCGGGGTTTAAGCCTCGGTTACACCGATAACACATCGTACAAAAGACAGCCTAGACACACTGTCTGAGGCCTTCCTTGTATGACCACCCTTTCCCATTGGTCAAAAAATCTGTCTACAGACGTCTTCGAAGCATACAGGCGTGCCCGTAGATAATGCTGCCAGCATGTCTGCAGTGGACACCCTGTCATTTGTAAGCTGTAAGAAGCCTGGAGCGTCTGCTCTCCCGCAAAGCTCCTTGAACAGCCAATCGCTGCAATATCCACAGGACGCTCGGCGAATGACGGGGCTAGTAATATGTTTAGATCCAAAAGAACTGCCTGAGCTGTGGCACTGAACATGACGTATCACCGTGCTCAGTGACGCAACGCGGAGAGCTTTTGCGGTGTAAACATATAATGAGCCCCGTCTTTCGCCGAACGCCCTTCGTGGACAGCAGCAAATGGGCCTCCCTAAGTGCTTGGCGGGGGAGAAGACGCTTCAGGCTTCTTAGGGGGTTGTCACTAGAGGCACGTCGTGTTTCGGTTGCGAAGCTTCCTATGTCGCCAATACTTTGCGCCCGAGCGGAAAAAAAAAAATCTGGCGCCAACCGAATTGCAGTTTAACAGGCGACGCAAGCGCCACGCGTGGCTGGCAGGACACTGAGAGAGCCGCGGGCGCCTCTGGTTTTGTCAGCTCCGCGCTTCATCCAGACACATGTTCTAAGCCTAGCAGTTGCGACCTTTACAGGCGCGGGGGCACAGAGAGGAGATGACGTAGTTTTGGAATTTCCGCATAACTTATGGAACGAGCTCCCATCTTCCTCGCGATAACTCCACAATGTCTCGCCTATTTTGTGTTCGTAAACTGTCAGAACCTCCCCGATGTTAAAGTGGAGTTCAGACACATGGTAATTTGCCGAGAAGGACTTGCCCGTGCGCGGTGTAGCGCTGTTCAAAGCTTGTGGTTCTTATTTTCGGCGTCCTCCGGTGACCTAAAGAAGTGCCGTTTTTTTCGTTGCTCTTGTAACCGCTCGTAGACCCAGGTACACAACACGTCAGCTTCATTACGAATCTACATGCCCTCTGCGTTGCCCAGAGGGCACTGTGTAAAGGGACTTGTTAGGACTTGTTTTGAGTGGTAGAAACTTGACCGCCTCAAACTGTCACGCATGTAGAAGCGTGCCTCCTCTGGTATAGAACGCGATCACGAGGAAAATAAAAATAATCAACATATATTTTAACGCTCATGAAGCACAGGTCAAAGCTATGACGCTAAGAGCTTTAGCCAAGAGACGCCGCCACCCATTCCAAAATAAAATGAAAAAAAAAATGAAAGGCGTTTACAAATCTCTGTCATGCGAAATTAGAGCGCAGCTCTTGAGGAGGAGGAGGGGATGGTAGGGACGGGACGGAGGGTATTCCCTTCCCCCTCCTCTGTGCCCTTTCCTCCTACCCCCCAGTCTCCTCTTCCTCCCCTACTCTCCTCTACTCTCCTCCTCCAATTCAGTTTCCTCACTAAATTTAGCGGGCAAAATGACGTCACATGACTTTGTGTGAAGTCCCCTAAGAAATAATTCAGTTTTTCCGCTAGATTTAGCGGCAATATTGATGTCACGTGACCTCGACGCCAATTCAATTCCCCATAAATTGAGAGGAGAATTGAAGTGGTCATGTCACGTGACGTCAATTCTCCCGCTAAATCTAGCAGAGAAACTGAAGTTCCCCGCTAAATTTAGCGGGCAATTGAATTGGCAATGAGGTCACGTAGCGAGGAATTGAATTGGTGTTGAGGTCACATGACGTCAATCTTCCCGCTAAATTTAGCGCGGTTACGCCGACGGCGACGCCGACGACGCTCAACATGGAAACGGGCGCCTAAGAGCTGCGCTCCAAAAATAGCGTCTGGAAGTTAGTGTGACGTTACCACCCAGAGAGAAGAGACGTGTGCCCTAGCGGTGATGGCATGAATCTGGCACTTTCGATTGTCTCATGACGTTGAATCTACAGCGATTACGGACGTCAAAAGCAGTTTTTCCGTTCTTCAGCACTACACAGATGTAAACAAGCCCATCGAAGGCGCCACAAGTAGTGCAAGGCACAACCAGGTGAGCTTGTACTACCCAAAATGGGGCCGCCACAGTTTCTTTAAAGCCTCAGCGTAGGAGGCGTATCCAGCTTCTAGAAAAACATTTTTTTTTCTTTTTCCAGAGGGCTTTTTTTTCCCGATGGAATTTGAGGTGAGGGAAGGGAATGGGTGACACATTGAGGGTGGCATCGTTAAATGTCGGTTGATAGTATAAAGAACTGTACTCTCTGACTTCATACCCACATGTTTTTTTTTGTTTTTTTTTGTGTTTTTCAACTTCAAGAATAACATTTTAGTGAACTATACTTCACAAGCTGTATATTTTCGATGGATGCGAAGATGAACGTGCGAGATATCGCACGCAAGATGCCACGGCAGCATCTGCATGATGCCGTGAGTACCAACGTAAAGAACCAGAACATGCAAAGGTTTTTACGCGGAACCGGCAGAGACAGGTGGAGTCATTGTCGCTCTTAATGTACACCCATCCACTCGAAGGGCTTGCGTAAACTGTAGAGTTCCAACAGAGTATCCAATGTAAGTTTCACTCTACCTGCCAAAGCCGCTGCTCCTGCGCTCCAATCCCGCAACTTCTCCTCAAAGCACCCAATCCGCCCCTCAACGCCCTCAACGAGCACAAAAAAGAGAAAATAACAAACTAAGTAAAAGTGACCCTGAGCGCGCTAACTTCGCAAAGCTGAGACTAACGCTGGTTGAGACAGCGCCTTGCTCAGTTAAAACACGCATAACACCACCCTGCGCTATCATCGTGCGTAGCGGTTTTCCGGCGATACGTAGTTCTCATCGTGAAGCCCTATTGTTATTCATGTGCGGCAGGTAGTTCGCAGATGACTGACGGTCTGATACATGTGTTTGTCCTACCATTGCAATCTACCTACAGGGCTAGTCACCGCACGCATCATTCGGTCTTCCAGAACGTGCAGCGAACATTTTGCCTACATTGCCCCATCATACTGTAAGAGGGATCCCGGGCATCAGGTTGTCTGCAACGGCACACGTCGGAGGCTGATTCAACGTTGTCGTAAACGAGCACTTGGCATACCTCTCCCGCTCATGTAATATGACGAAAGCGAGGACAATTAGCGATTTGCAGGGTCTTAATTAGTTCACCTGTACACCTCAGGCGAACTAATTAATCTGCTTTACATTCTTAGCGTTTTGACGGCAGATGTGCTATTGTGAAAGTGAAAAACTGGTGACCCCTCTAGACACTTCTGAGGTTCACAGAGCCAAAATTTATGACTTTCCTCTGCTAGTCTGTCCAACTAAACACGAGACTCATCACCGTGTACTGAATCGTTTCATTTGCAGAAAGTTTTTGGGTTCTTTTCTAGTAAACTATGCAAACTATGCTTTCAGTGAAAAATAAATAAATTAAACGTTCAACACGTTTGTGCGGAGGGCTCTTTCTCGTAAGTTTCACAAGTTGAGGCAGAGATCTTGCACGGCATGGTCCCCAATAAGCGTAGAGATACAATCAATATACGCTACATTGTACGTACATACTCTCCACAAGAATAATTGCGTCGGGGACATTCTTCCACTCCGTGGTATATAACAGCCAGACGACAGACACCGGCGAGGGGTCAATATCTTGCCCGTTGCCTTCACGTAAGCCAATCAACGCCGCGAGACGATTGTCTTTCATCTAAATGGCTTTGATTGTGTTACGTTGAGTTTAACGTGTGTTCTGCAAGATTGCCATCAACTGCATTCTATTTTTATTTCAAAATAAACTTTTTCCAATATAACACTTTTTAATTCAAAAGTTTACATGACACGTCTGGGCTCAGATTATTTTTCACTCGCGTTTTAATTCGTCTGAAGCCATCTTGCTGCCCGTGTCTTCCTTCTATGTTTGATCTGTATGAAGCGATAATTTTGTATTCCTCGTAAACCAGCCACAGTCCACAAGATTAACGCGAACGACTGCCAAGGGTGACTCGCTTTACCGGCACGATACCCATTCCCTAGAGTGCACACTCCCTGCAATGCGAAAGGTTGTCTTCACCGCAAACACGGCGCAGCTTAGCGCCACAAGCCGGACACCTCGAGCGCGTTTTGCCGGCTGCCTTCGTACTGCTCGTGCTCTGCGTTTGCAGGCATTGTGAAGCTTATGCAGGAGGCTCTGGTTTCCCCCGGAAATTTCTTGGCTCTACCGCAGAACGCGAGTTTCGCTACTGATATGAAGCCTCTAGTGATGTTGCTATGAGCAGTTGGACTGCAGCTGAAAGCTGTCAGTCAGACAGTATGTAAACTAACGCTTCCAAGGCTAATTAGACGACACTGGAAAAATCGGTTTCTCAACATATCGCGATGCAATTTGTCACAGAGGTGCAAGCAGGTGATGAAAGTTTACAACAAAAAAAAATTAACTCTCCTAGTTCAATAAAAAAAAAGTTTTGGGCAATCAACGACCCGACTATGCAGATGATGCAAGCGCAGAGAGAAGTGCTGACGCCAGATGGCGCACGCTGCGCCGAGGAAGCGCCGGCCGATTCGGGTTCTTTTGCAAGATCGTATGCTATGAACCCGAATCGTCCAGCGCACCCCCCCCCCCCCCCTTTTTTTTTAGGGGCGAAGCTCCTTAGGGTCTAGCCTTATCCGTCCGGCGTCCGTGCTCACATCGATTGCCATCCCATCTGTCTTCTTAAAAAACGAAAAATGTTTGCGCAGACGACAGGATTCGAACCTGTGCGGGGAGACCCCAATGAATTTC